TTAAGCTGGTTCCAGTTCTCCATGGTCTCTGTTTTTAAGCTGGTTCCAGTTCTCCATGCTCTCTGTTTTTAAGCTGGGTCCAGTTCTGCATAGTCTCTGTTTTTAAGCTGGTTCCAGTTCTCCATGATCTCTGTTTTAAAGCTGGGTCCAGTTCTCCATGGTCTCTGTTTTTAAGCTGGTTCTCCCAGAACTGGATTGTTCTGATTGGCTCCTCAGTCAGTTCAGCTGTTTGTGAGTGTACTGAGCCTTTTTGGTTCTGAGTGTACTGATTTAGTGTTTCACAGTAAAGAAGGTGAATGTTATTGTCGTTTGGATCTCTGAGCTTTTGATTTGACAGTTTTCTGAGTTCCTTTTGTATATTTTGTCACTCTTGATCAAACCAATCGTCTTCTTTTTGAAAGTCGGTTTTGATGTTTTCCTAATTTTCAGTTTAGCCTTTTCTGGGCAGTTTTGTCAAAGATCGTATTTAGATTCTTTACTGCCAGATTGACTCCTCTTTACTGTGAGTGTGTATGGTGTCCAGAAAGCTGTCTAAAAGGGTTTTCTTGGTCTCTGATTGCTTTCTGATTGCATTTTCTTCTGTGCTGTTTAGGTTCATCTGTATGATCTCCTGATGCTGTACAGCTCACTGGGCTGTGTGTGTGGAGTGCTGTTAGTCTCTGTCCTTTTAATGAACACAGTGATTTGGCTGTGGTCAGACAGAGGGGTCAGTGTTTAACAGTGAATGTACTGAGACAGAAAGGATCTAAACCTGTCATCATATAGTCTGCTGTGTTTTTCCCAAGAGGTGAGCAAAACGTGTATCTTCCTAAAAAGCCCCTTGTGTCCTACCATTGACAATGTACAGACCCAGACTCTGACAGAGCTGCAGGAGTTCTCTGTTTTTGTCTGTTCTGCTGTCGTGATTCTGTTTCTATGGGGTTAGAGATGATTGTAATTAATAAACTGTTTTCTTTGAAGTAAAATGATCTGTTTGTGTATGTATGAAGTTCAGTTGCGTCCCTGTTTTGGTGTTCAGATCACCGCAGACCAGCACATTTCCCTGAGTCTGGAAATGACATGCCTCTCTCTCCAACTCAGAGAATGTGTTCAGAACAGTGGAGGGGCTCTGAGGGGGGGTGTATATAGCGCAGAGGAATAAGTCCTTATGTAAAGAGACTACAGTGTTCCTGATTTAAAGCTAAATTTGGTCTTTTCCTGTTTTACAGTGTCTATTTATGGATGTAGATTTGATCTGTACCACATTATTAGTCCTCCTGATCATCGGTCTTGACGTACTGTGCTCAGCTTTTGGGACGGTGCTGTAGTTTCTCTGAATCAGCGTTTGGGATGGTGCTGTAGTTTCTCTGTTTTCTCTGGACAGAGTGACAGTGTCAGCTCTGCTCCACATCTCCTGGAGGACGATGAGGTCGTTGTCTTTGAAATAGTTTTGAAAATCATCATTTATGATTTTCAAGACAAACACTGATGAGCTCAAACCTTAGATATTCCACAAACTAACTGAAAATGAGACTGTGTCTCTCTCTTTCTCTCTCTCTCTCTCGCGCTGTTTATTTCCCTACAGCTCTGTCTATTCATTACCTACATCTCTTTCTTCCTGTCTCGCTCTTTTTTCATTACCTACAGTTCTTTCTTCCTGACTCTCTCTCTCCATCTCTTCGTTACCTACAGCTCTCTCTTCCTGACTCTGTCTCTCCTTTTATTCATTACCTATAGCTCACTCTTCCCAGGGCTCCAGACAAAAATAGCTTAAGGAGCCACTCGTTCCTAAAAGAAAAAAAAATCAGGCACCGATCTGCTTTTTAAAGTGCCAAATAATAATAATATGCAGGAAAATAAAGCTTTTCAATGCACCTCAGATCAGCACTGTGATTTAAAGGGGAACTCTTTTTCAATTTTTCAAAATTTCTGCATAATTAAATAGTTAGCATGTCAACAACATCATGCAGAGCGGTTTGGTATGAAACGCTTTGTTCTAGAGAGACTTACAGAGTCAGAATTCTTCATATCGATGATGATAGGAACGTCTGAGGAGTTAAATGTCTCTAAAAGCTCCCTCACAGAAAGGTACTATGTGCAATGGTTATGAATACACTGCCTCGTATCTGAGACATTGTTTTACAGAAACTTTGTGATAAAGTTTTGGTTTAAATGTATTTTAATCAGTTCATTTTAATCTATTCATGGTGGACGGATACATGAAGGGTGTTCTAAGGCAAAATAGTCCCCAAAGAATTTTCAGATTTACCATATTTTCCCATCATCAACGTTACATATAAACTCTGTAGATACGTGTAGGTTCACTGGTGGTTTTGAATAGTAAATAAAATGGCTTCATTTACATTGTAGATATCAGGAGTCCTGATTTCTGTCACCATCACTGCAAAGACACCAGTCTGTAAGTTCTCTGCCAAAGAACCATTTTACATTAAAACGATCTGAATGACTGTCTATATCTCAACCACTGAACTGTACAGAAATTTTGAAAAATCAGTGGAATTCCTGCCTCTCACCACTGGTGAGTTAACTAATTTAATTACTCGCAAATTAATAATTGTGGTCACAACTGCTTCCTGACTGTCTCGAGATGCTAAAGTGCTGGTTGAAGCTGAAATATTCAGAATAAGTGATCTGATCTCAGAGCGGTCAGACTGTTAATCTTTCCCTCGTTCGTGTCTCTATAGAGTTTCTGACTCTGTTTTTCTGACTCGTCTCTCTGCTCCTCCTCAGGACGAGCCCTTTTCAGTCTGGGAGAATATTCTTCAGTCTTCATCTGGACTGAGGGAGTTAAAGAGTTAACATTAATGTTATCCACTCTCATGAGTGGTCGATACTGACCAGCAGCTCTATGTACAGCATGTTGACCACAACAGCTCAGCTGTACTCTAACATTAGCTTAGCTGTGCTGACTAGCCGGGCTCCTTACATGCTCACTAATAACTGATCTGAAAGCTGCGTCTCTGTGATGGACAGAGTTGTGTTAGAAACACAGACAGCCTCATTGGACCCTTTTCACAAAGAGTCGCAAACTCGCTTCCGTTCCATATAACTACTGCAGAAGCGATGACAAAATGCTATAGTAGTGAACTATAATGCTCCAATACTGAGGTACAACAGCTATATTTCAGTTTTCCTGCACTGTCATGACAAACAGTGAGAATAAGAAGTGGATGGAAGCTCTGATTTAACTGTGAACAGAGCTAAAACTCTGTATGTGTGGGACGGCCTTGTTTCTCCTGCAGCTGCTTCACAGCAAGCAGCGTCTGTTTCTTTCTACAACAAGCCAGTGATTTCACTAATATTTCTGTTTTCAAAAGAAAGAAGAGCTTATATATGTAGCATGAATTTTATAGACTCCATTTATATTAAACTAGCTACACTGGCTAGAAGGTATTGCTAACCAAACTAGATTGCCTGGCTAACATAAAGCAGCTTTTTGCTTTTTCAAACGTCACAGCATAACCGCGATGCTAACATACGAGTTAGCTAGGAGTCGCGTTTCTGATTGAGCAGTGAAGGTGGATGTTTTCTGAAATACTTCTTCAAAAATTGCCATGAAACTAAAATAAAGAAGCTGTTTGACAGATCGCTAACATAGCTTAGCCAGCTAGCTTTAAAGTCTGCTACTCATACGAAGCTGGTGTTCCTCAAACTGCTAATGGTAGGTTAGCTAATTAGCGCCTGTAGCCTGCTAGCCTACCATAAGCTAAAAGAGAGTTTAAACCAGGTCTGTCAAACAGGCTTTACATATAAAAGTTCTGGTTTGTGTTTATAATATTAGAGAAATCGCTGCTGTAAATGTGTCACAGAACCTGCTCCACGTTAGCCGGCTGGTGCCAGCAGCTAATGAAAGCTAGCTCCCTTGTTTGGGAATACAGCTACAGTTAGCAGTGGCCTCTAGCGTAGCTAGCTAGCTACAGCTAAACAATGTCTAACAAATCCATACTATATATAAAAGCTCTTTCTTTTGAAAACAGAAATATTACAGAAATCGCTGGCGTGTTATTCAAAGACAGAGAGGCTGCTTGATGTGAGGCAGCTGCAGCAGCAGTAAGCAGGGCTACACCTCACATACAGATACACACAGTTTAGCTCTGTTTACAGTTCAATCAGAGCTTCCATCCACTTTCTGTTCTCACTGTTTGTGGTGACCGTGCAGGAAAACTAAAATATAGCTGTTGTAGCTCAGTGTTTGAGCATTATGGTTCACTACATGAACATTTTGTGATCGCTCCTGCAGTGGTTGTATGGAGCAGTACTTAATAAGCTTTACTTAAGCACAAGACCTTAATTATTGCTGTTACTCTTATTGTAAAGATGAAATCATATCTATATTATTAATGCTTTGATAATGCAATTGAGCTCGTAGTAACATTATTCAGTCACAGTTAAACACTAATTAATGTGCTACACAATTCTTATTGAAAATAATTTAAAAAGTTCATAATAATACTTACAATAATACAAAATAAACAAATGCATGGGAGTTCTTACCCAATGTTACTTAATTAACCTTTGCTCCACCTGTTTTTCCCTGTTTTGTATTCTAATATTTTATACTGATGCTGTTTGCTATCGGTCGACCAGAGGAGGATAGGTTCTCCTTTTGAGTCTTGGTTCCTCTCAAGGTTTCTTCCTCTTGCTCTTAGGGAGTTTTTCCTTGCCACTGTCGCCGTTGGCGACGCTCATGGGGGGTATGGACCTGGATTTTTTTCTGTAAAGCTGCTTTGTGACACCTGTTGTAAAAAGCACTACATAAATAAACTTTGACTTAAGATCAATTCTCATGGTGTCCCTTTCGGAAAAGTTTAAACCATCACTAACTGTGAACATGATACTTCAGTTAAAGACCTTTTATGCTTTTCTGGATTTTCTCTTTTCTTTAGTGTGTTTGTAGCTTCTACAAAGTTATAAAGCTCAAAGTTCACATCAGAGGGAGAAACTCTGTCCCACAGAAACCTCTTTTCTCAGCTGCCTGAAACGCCTTGTTGGAATTCCAGCCCTTTTCTCTGTTACAAGGTGACGTCATCTCGTAAAACAGTCCTCACTGCTTTACTCGCCCTCACAGAGGAGTGTGTTCCGTGTAACCGTGTGGAGACGCTGACCGGACTTTCAGGATCGACTCTGGATCAAACTGATACAGCAGAACTGACACTGTTGGAGAAAGAGCCACAGCGGAGTTTACAGCTGCTCAGGAGAGAAGAGTCTGTCTGCTAGTGATGTTACGGTCACCAATGATCCGGTTCTTTTCAGCATTATTCAGCTCCCTAAAGGCAGAATGAACAGGACGTTGGATACTGTTTAAACACACCACTCAGAATTGTCTGAGAAAGAGAGAGCGACAGCAGTGGTGGTTGAGCGAGCTAGAGACTGAATGAAGAGAGGGAGCAGCGTTAGTGAGAACAAGGCAGTGAATCAGATAAATAAGCTTTATGTTGTGATTGTTTCACGGCGTTTACGCTCCAACACCTCCTCACAGCCCTGAGTGAAGGATTCTGTATGAACGCAGCTGAAGTGCTTCATCCTGTCTGCTGCTGTGGCCTCTCTCTGCTCTGAGTGTTCTAGGCAGGGGTGGAACATGTAGGGGCGGAACTGCTTTGGCAGTTGATCAGTCAGAACAGAGTGGGCGAGCTGACCAATCAGAGCTCACTGGGCTCATCAGGAGGCGGGGCTTAAAGACACAGGAGCTCTAACAGAGTGTTTCAGACAGAGGGTGAATAGAGATGAAGAGGATGAGAAAAATAATGTGTTTTTGGAACATTGAAGCTGTAAATCTGTTCTAGTAGAGCCCAAAAACAAAACTATGAACACTGAAAATGAGCATAATAGCATAATAATGGCCACTTAATGATTTCATTTTAATGTTTCATTCTAATATTGAGCAAATTACTTGTTTATTTTTGTTTGTTTTTTGGTGAATGATAAAGTAACAGTAATTAAAATTACACCTGGCGTTAAGTCAGACTTTACTTGACATGAATATGATTTGTAATATAGGCTTCAATAAATTGTTAACTAAATAAATTTCCCTCAGATGATCTGGTTTTGCAGCTCCTACAGCACAAGCCCTGCAAAAACACTGAACCCTACTAGAAGAATACTGTCAAAATTGAGCATTATACATCAACATCAATCAAACCAAAATTAAGATTTTTCAACAGAAAAAGCCAGATCACACAAATCATAGTTCCACTTTACATTTGGTGGGACCTCTTTACAGCACATTATGGAATATAATTACATAGAGATATTAATCAATGCATTTGGTAACTTTAGCAGGACTATGAATGCATCGGTAGAAAAACCAAGAAAGGAATATTAAAAGATCAGTGAACACATTCAGCCCACCAATTCAAATTCAGCTTAAATGTTTAATTGTGTATTTAAATCCATACTTTTATATGGCAGTGAAATACAGGGACCAATAATTTATCAAAAAGACACCATATGGGACACAAATCCACACTGCTTCTGTAGTTTGAATGTGTTCAGAATATTTGTGCCTGTAATGGAGCTTCAGAGGGCCAACTACACCCACAAGCCTCCAGAAATTAGTGAAATATTTATAGAATCATAACTTATTATTTTACATTTAATACACAGGTTCTAGACAATTCTGGTCATTTCCATTTCTATTTTCACTGGTTAAAAGTACAAACAGCTGCAGGTCGCTACTTCCAAAAACTCCACCACTCTGTTTGGGCTAAATGGGCTGTTTCCATCAACTCATGCAGCACATTTACATCTGATGCATTTAACACCTCCAGCTACTGTTTGTTATCGCATGAAGTACATTTTTTGTTTGAACAACAAAATGAAACTAGTAAAATGTATTTCCTTTTTGTTGCTGAGTGCTAACAAATGGTTACTATGGTATACTTAGTGGTTGGTAACGTGTCACTAGCCATTTGCTGTGGTTTCCCATTTGGTTGCTAGGTGTGTGTGTGTGTGTAATAACTGTGTGGAGTGTGAGGTGTGTTTGGAGTGTGTGATGTATGTAGGGTGGGTGGTGTGTAAAGTGTGTGTTGGGTGTGAAGTGTGTGGAATGTGTGTAGAGTGTGTGGTGTTTAGTGAGTTTCATTCTTGTAAATTTTTACACTACAAATATCAAATTTATGGTAAATGAATATCAGCTCCAAATATCGGTAATTGGTGTCCTTGATTACTAATAATCGGTATCAGCCCTGAAAAAACACATTGGTCAACCCCCCTCTGCCCCACTACAAAGCTTTACAATCCCACTCTCACTGATCACAGCCAGAGTCCCCCTTAGACCCCCCACAGACCCCTCAAAGATAAACATCACCTTCAATCACAGCCCAGTTCGCTCTCTCACCAACACAACTCAGAATGATCCACAAAAACAATACATCAATAACTGGATCAATGAAATTTCCTGAGTTAGTAAATCAGAATGTTACAGATTCCTGAACAGAGAAACACACAGATTTAATCAGATTATCTGATTAAAATAAAAATCCCAAAGAAAGAAACACTTTAAAATGAACAGACTCAGAGATCATAATGTAGAAAAAGGCTCCATAAGAAACACTGGAGGCCCAAATGAAGAACGACTCTGTAATCAGAGCAGCTCAGAACAGAAACAGACACCACTTTCTCTCCTCATGCAGCAAAAATAAAGATCTCAGAGAAGATTATTACAGTTCAGTTTAAACTGAGATCCATCATTAGAAGAGGAAATGATTCAAACTGAAGATGTGATACTGATGTGTTTAGGAGAGACACCAGAATGTGTTAAACTATCAGATACATGTGTTTACAGCTGTTACACACAGAGAACAGACTGAAAAACAACCTTAATCACACATCAGTGTATTTAAGTGTGTTTGAGTATAGATGTGATTTTACACTGGACAAATGTAAAACAGAGAGAGAGACAGAAACTGAGTGAGAGAGAGAGACAGGGAGAGAGAGAGACAGACAGAGACTGAGTGTGAGAGAGAGAAACAGGCAGAGAGAGAGAGAGAGACAGAAAGAGCGACAGAGATAATGATAACATTTAAATGAGTATATTAATGTGTGTGTGTGTGTGTGTGTGTGTGTTTAGAGTGGAACATGGAGGTGAGAACAGAATCAAACCAGGACTGAAGAAATGTAAGTACACACACACACACACACACACACAAACATACACACACACTCACAGACTCACTCACACACACACACACACACACACACACACACACACACACACAAACATACACACACACTCACAGACTCACTCACACACACACACACACACACACACACACACACACTCGCTTAGGAAACCTTTGGGAACAGCACTTTCCTTTAGGTTTAGAGAGAAAATAGGTTGTGATTAGAGTTACAGGTTTTTGTCAAATCAGTTCAGATTTTTGTTAAATCCTTTTTTATACATGTCTGAAAAATGACCTCACCTTTGGGAACATTTTTTAGGTCCACTTTGGGGACAACATTACGCACACACACACAAATTCTGAGAAAAGTGTACTTATAGGACATTCTTTTCAAATTGGGAACCAAATACACCAAACCCCTTATACTGTTCTCCCTAAAGAAGTCACTTGATTATTCTGATTTTAAAATGTGTTTGCTGTGATTCTCGATGCACTGGACTAATCCGTACACCACAGTGTCTCGCATGATGGTATAATAATCTGCAGGGATTCTGTTCTCCAAATATGTAAAAGGTGTGGAAATGGAAATAATTCTTATTGTGAATCAAATCGTAGCAGAAACTATGCAAAATCTGTAACCTTTTCACTTTGTGCTTAGTGTATTTAACCAATCAACATTAGGCTCTAAAATTCCATTCTGAAAATATCACTGCAAAATCCACAGTGGGCAAAATTTGCTAAGACTCTCCTAATGTAACACACTGAATGACAGGAGAGGAAGAAAAAGCTGATGTGGAGTTAAAAACATTTATTTTCTTTAAACTATGAGCTCTAAACACAAATGCTTATTACAAGTAACATTTAACACATTGAAATTTCATTAGCGTAGTGTAGGGTATACTTTACATTTCTTTAGTTTAAAACATCTGAGATAAACATGTTTTAAATTTGTATACAAACTAGAAAAAAAATCACATGAGTTTAGGATTAAAAAATATTCATTAACTAAAAGCTTACAGTCTGTAAGCAAATCACCGCTTAACAGCTGTTTGGTCTAAAGTGTAATTTCTTCATACTCTGTGCTGAAAGGTACTTAAGGAAAATGATTTCAGATTCTCCACTACTTTATCACCAACATTCCATATAAAAACTCGTTTAGCAGAGTAAATAAATGTCTATTTGTGTGTTGTAGTCATGAACCCCTGGTTCCCATCACCACCACTGTAAAGAAATCTGAGTCATAAAGTTTGTTTAGCTTAACAATTGAACAATGTGGAAAACCTAAAAACACATCTGTGGAATTCCACTTTAAGATGTAAACAGAGTCAATCAGAGTGGATTAAATGTTGAATGTGCCGTTCTAAAGATACACACAGACACTGAACTTATTCACAGTTATGATGACAGAAACCAGATTTCTAAAGCATTTAACACCAAAATTCCCCTAGATAAAAAACTGTTACACGAAATGTTAGAAATACAAAGCGTAATGTCTGAAACACTGTTTTACAATTTAAGATCATCAACATTCCATACAAAACTCAACACGTGTAGGTTTACTGGTCGTTTTGGACTGTAAATAAAATGGCTATATTTGTGCCGTAGACACAGCCACCACTGTAAAGACAATCTGCTGACAAGTTTCTCTACAATTCACTTTTTCACACACACCGATCAGGCATAACATTCTGACCACCTCCTTGTTTCTACACTCATTGTCCATTTTATCAGCTCCACTTACTATATAGGTGCACTTTGTAGTTCTACAGTTATGACTGTAGTCCATCTGTTTCTCTGATACTTTGTTAGCCCCCTTTTACCCTGTTCTTCAGTGGTCAGGACCCCCATGGATCCTCACAGAGCAGGTACTATTTGGGTGGTGGATCATTCTCAGCACTGCAGTAACACTGATGTGGTGGTGGTGTGTTAGTGTGTGTTGTGCTGGTACGAGTGGATCAGACACAGCAGTGCTGCTGGAGTTTTTAAACACTGTGTCCACTCACTGTCCACTCTATTAGACACTCCTACCTTGTCAGTCCACCTTGTAGATGTAAAGTCAGAGATGATAGCTCATCTGCTGCTGCACAGTTTGTGTTG